CACTGAGCTGTTACAGCAGGAACCGACTGCAGCTGCTGAAGAGGAAGAGACTCTGACACAGACCACTGAACACAGAGCTGACAAGTTTTTTTTGTCACGTGTGTCAGTATTGATCGCATGGAGTCAGCGGAAATTATTAGACTTCATGGCAGTTCCAACGTGAAACTGTCAAATCAAGTAGACAATGAAGTGAATAAGATCTGAATAATAAAAAGAGTAGACATTACAAATACACAATAATAAGCATATTATTAAACATCTTCACATCTCTTATACAAAAAAGCAGAATTGACCTATACTGACAAATATCACTGAAGGTGACAAGGTGTAATTGTACATGAGTGCTCAAAAATGCTTTATAGGAACAAGAAAGCGAGCATTTTTCATGAATAATATATTGCAGAATATATAAAAAAGATAGCAATTTATTCAAATGTATTATCTATCTATGCCATTTAATATTAAAAATAATTGAGTATTTCTATTCTCGCTATATTTCACTGGAATATTTATTTATTCATTATATTATTATTGTCATTATTATTATTACTTTATTTTACTCTACTGCATTTTTTTAACAGTTGTAGTTATGTCTTATGATAGGTGTCATAATATTTATAGATAATATTAATATTAAAATGATATATATAATATTGACTGACTGGGGTCATTCTGCTTTGGTCAACAATACATACAAACTTTTTACTGGAGGTTTTTAAAGTAAAGGAAATGAATAGGCCCAGGCTTTTCCTTCCAAACCTCTCCAGATCTGTAATAAAAACTCTCCTTTTGCAGTTATTTCGCTTAAATTCACAAGAGGGCAGCATTGATCCGATTTTGATTTTGCAAACAAGCATTGAAAGTGTAATTACTGTCGACACAGGTGAACGTTTAAGTCCATTTGTATAATATGAAGCGTCACTGCACATCATTTCTTGTGCAGCGTCCACTCCTCTATCTCAGAGACCACAACAGTGCTGAGTCCACTTCCAACCACTTAATTCCTCTAAAACAAAGCTGTTGCGTTGCCAAACCAGAGATGTTTCCGCGTTCTTTATTGGGGAAGTTGATCTTTTGGCCATCGCGGAAGGAAAGACGCACTAGTCTGCAGCGCTCTACAAAAAACAGATTGTATTTTCTTTATTTAAAAAAAAAGGTGTCATGGTTCAGTTGTGATTGCGCCATATTCATGTTTGCGCACTTGTAGGTTGCGGCGATTACTGCGCGCTCGTTCCTGGCAGCTCTTAAAATGAGTGATCGGAGTAGAAACGCTTTGAAAACAATACTTCAGCTGGTCTCTCAACTTCTGTGGGTATGTAAAACTTTATCAGTGTTGCTGTACTGTCTGCATTTTGCACTGTGTTTGTATTCTGCCACTAAACATCATGAAGTTACCATCTATGCCAGTTCTCATTATATTAATATATTATTTATGTTTAAAACAATAGAACAGAGCTACAAGAATACACCCCTAATGTTGTCTACAAATATATTTCCCTCTATAATATACATGTATTTTTGAGCCTCATGTGACACATGTCATGTGACACAAGAGTGGATGTGAGCGCGTGACAGGAACATAAACATAAACACTGCGCACACCTGAAGATGAAGATGAATTTAACGACCTAATTTGATTTGAATAATGAACTATATTGTTGTTTTTTTAGCCTACTTTACTGGGATATGTTTGTTTTTTGTGTTTCACTCTTTTTGTCATGCAGTTCAGTTTAAGGCATGTTCTTTGAGTTTTTGGAAAGGGTCAGTAACATAAAATAAATAAAAGGGCACACAGGTTAAGGACAGTAGGAGAGACTAACCCTCTCATGCCAATGACTGCTTGACCCTCAGTTTAACCACTAAAAAACACTGAAAACATTGAAAACATATTCTGTTGGCAATCTCCCTTTAATTGGTTGGTTTCTCATTATATGCACACACAAAAAAGGGAAAGAGGCTTCAAATATTGTCCTGAAAGCATGATCGGCTATAACAACTTGCAAACAAACACCAAACATTTAGAATTAATTGAACGGAATAAACAGTTTTTAGGAAGGAATAGTTTTACGACTTAGATTGTAAGATTGATACTGGTAATGGGAAGCTGAAGTCAGGAGATGTTTTGCTCATGCAGCTATATCCTGTCTTAATATGTTCCTTGTCTTATTGAGTTCAGACGAGACACTCACACTGTCTGTTGTGTAGGTGCTGGGGTTGGTGGTGGGCCTCAGTGGAGTCTACCTGCTGATGAACTACAGACAGAGGAGCTTATTTTTTACTCACGCCTACATTACCCTGCCCGCTATCTTCGCTCTCGCCAGCGCTGTGTTCCTAGTGGTCACCGGTGGCCTCGGCTCTAAGCTGAGCCTCAGGGATTCCACCTTTCAGCAGGGATTGGTAAGGTTGTGTGTGTGGGGGGGTATCTATAAGTGCATCGTTGTTTGGACTGTACATAATAAAGTGTTTTCTTCTCCAGTTTGTTTATCTGCTAGTTTTGGTCATTTGTCTGGAGAGTACGGCTTCAGCGTTGGCCTATTTTCACTCTACAGAGGTATGCAAGTTACACAAAAATAAATGTGCACTGGGCAGTTTTTGTGTTTTCATGACACTGCAGATTATTATATAAAATTGTGCATTAACGACCTTGTGTGTACTTCCTTTTTGTTCAGCTGCATTCAGAGATAGCTCCTCTCAGTAGAGTGTTTCAGGGATACACAGGCAGCAGCCAGGACCCCAACTCTCGAGCTGTTGATGCTACACAAGAAGAGGTGTGTGTTCAGTCATATAAGTCATGTGATATTGGTCATATAGACATCCACATACCCCAAGCATGTTCATATCTGGTACACAAAATGTGTAAAACAATAGCAGGGACATGAATACGAGTATTCAAGCTGAGTTGGCCCCATTTGCTCCACATCATCTCCTAAGAATGCAAACCTCAGGCCTGAAATCATGCTCAGGAGAAAAACAAAACCAAAATCATGTCTGTTGCGCTTCAAACTGAAGACCTATTTTGGTTTGATTTTATTCTGATAAGATAGTGATAGGGTATCTTGTTGTTGGATTCCTCTTAGTTACAGTGTTGTGGTGTCCATGACTACAAGGATTGGCTGAAAACCTCCTGGTTTAACCATACCGGAGGACTCTTGGTTCCGTCCAGCTGCTGCAACTCTACTTTCCCTTCCTGCAATGGCACTGTGGACCAACCATGGCAGCTTTACACACAGGTAGACATGTGCATCAAAAAAGCTCCAGAGTGGATGTTTAATCAGATCCCCTCTGTTTCTCTGTCTTTATTTTGAACGTCTCTCTCTTTCAGGGCTGCCAGGTGAAGCTGGAGATGGCCTTGCAGTTTGTGCTGAGCTTTATCTTCTGGGGCGCCCCAGTGGTTTTTGGGGTGGAGGTGCGCTAGACTGCATAACATTTTCAGATTTACACATCCAGCATAACAGGGCAACATTAGCATTTATTTGTCATGTTTCTGACCACCCAGTGAATTTAAGTCCAACATTGACTCCCCTTTTAGCTTTAGTTTTTCTGAGGG